GGGGGGGGGGGTAGGTTCAAAGAAACCGCAAATACCCTACCACCGAGTAATCACGGTAGACACGTGTTAATTAACCACCTAGCAGTACCTGATCCAGATATCTGCATTTGGAATTAGCGCAGAGTGCGGAACCCTTTGCGAAATTCTATATAATCCAAATTTCAGTACGAATTAAGTTTACGTGGATGCAGTGAAAGTTAAGCAAGCAATCGATAAGATACCAACGAATTGGATATATTACGATTACGTGCTAGGAAGCTAATGACTCAGGTATACGTAATCATCTCGAAACGTTAATTAATTAGATACCGAACATTTGCTAATGAGCGCTTGTGCAATCTTAATTTGATTTTAATAATGAAAAACGTCTTTCCTCTGTATGAAGCAGAGGTTCTTGTCTGTCAGGGTATCCTGAAAAACTCTTAATAAATGTTATAAAAAATCAGCATAGACAGGTAGGATATGTAATTTATATAATTTGTCAAAATTAATTTTTTTTACTATAATTTTTTTCAATCTCCATAAATATGGTTATCGTTACGCAGCCATTGGTTGTGACTTTTTTTTTTTCATTGTATTCAGATAAAAATTATCACTTTGTTCAAAAGATTTATCTCAAAAGAGTAATGTCACTTTCACGTAGACAGGATCGATAGGCAAGTACCTCTTTGTCTAATCAAAGATAACAGCTGACGATGTACCAGTACGCGAGGGACTCCCAAGAATGGATCAAGATAAGGAAGTTATGGAAGAAATAAATTATAACGGAATTACTATATTTTAACAAGCCGAGTAACGATCTTTACAGTTGTCAAGATTGTTAACGGCGGTCGGGCTGCTCTCTGATAGAAAGAAACAGGCTTGCCAAAGATTAAAAAATAAAATAGGAAAATCCGCACCCGAGTACAATTTACAAGTATGTAAAATTTATGAAAAATCAAAGTGCTGCAAACACGTTAATTAATTGTTTACTATCTTCGATTACCCATGGGTCAATTTCAATTTTACAGTTTAGCAAGAAATATATATAATATATGTATGCCGTTATACATACGTCACTGAGTATTTCAAAGGGGCTTAAAGTCTGCCATCGAAAATCTGGGGATTTTCATATTTTCCATGAACTCGATACAGCGAGTATGCAGGGTGTGTCGGGAAATACGAAATATTCTCAATAAATGTGAATGCAGCGATAGAAGAATCGCGATAGACGTTTCATGGGGAAGTAACGTCACGTTTTACAGGCGTATGCGCAGCCACGAGTAATAACGATAAAACCATAGCACCGCGTTCCTCTGGGAAACTTTTCAAGAAAAAGATCCAATTTGCCCAAGAATTGAGATCGAAATGATACTCGTGGTTAAAAGTTGAAAATAACATAGATATGTGAAGATGATCAAAGTGGAGCGAAGAAATGATAATAATTGTACTTAAAAAAAGTTTGTTCGTCCGTAGATCGATTTCAGGGGCCGTGTAAAAAAAAATGTTTGTCTCTTATGACAAACGTATCTCCGATAACTTTTGAGCCACGCGAGCCTCTCGAACTGTATGAGAAATTCGAGAGGTTCGGCAAGACGTGAATTCAAATAAAATTCTACGCCGAGAAGTCGAAATACTCTAGAAGAAAATTGATCGACTTTATTGATCTCCTATCGATATCCGATTAATATGAATTCCAGGTTCTTAATGAAACCGGGAAAGAAATTCAATTTACGATAACCACTCTCGTTCATTGTACATCGTCCAATGTGGTTACGTAGTACAATATATTTCCGCGAGGCTTTAACGTCGAATGGCGCTGTAGGTTTACTGATAAAAAAAATCAAAAGGTCTGTCTACGTCAATGAAAACTACACTAAGGGGTTTAACTTTGTTAACTTTGATCCCGCAACGGCTTTACGTCGACATAGTATCGTTCACTATCTATACCCCCTCAGGCCGAGCCTATCGGGTAAGGTTAGAGAAGGGGAGTTGAGTAGAGTGTAAAAGGGTACGAGGATATTATGGTAAAGTACCATATAGCTACGTATGACGTATATGGCACGTTTAGTAACTTTCACAAGATAACATAATAAGACCACACTGTACATAATACAACGTGTATGGGTGTCGTCCAGCAGTAAAATATTTTCCAGAGGGGCTATCTCCTTATGACTTTTAACGTTAAACAGTCCTCTAGGCGGAATCTGAAACGACTTTACAAGACTGAAATATACGGACGGTGGGGTCTTACATTATATCCCATAAAGTGTCAAGAGTCACGAAGGGATGCCAAAAAGTCGGTGAACCAACCGGAGAGATTTTATATGGTGCCACCTTATGAAAGTCTTATAAGACGCGAGAAATGTTCAGCACCTGGAAAAGATTTGGGCCCCCATTATATGTTTTTTTAGCTTCTCGACAAAAAGTTACGAACTATTCTGGGTTTCGGTTTTGACGTCACATTGACAAATCGCACGTTCAAATTTCCGTATGTGATATTTTAAAGCACTACCTCAATTTCTCGTAGCATATCCAAGGACGATAAGAAGATATGTCATTTTATATTTTCGCGACTTTTTACATGGTGTTTATTACGGTTCACCATAGACAGTGAATTCTAATACGGATCTCAAAATCGCCCTTTACGCGTACAGCTGTTATCTTTGGCCAGTAAACAAATGGCTTTTTCGACAAATGGCTTTTTTCGACGAATAAAGATTTACAAGCAACAGTCCTTCTCCACGCTAAATGAATCGTTCCATCTTGGTAGCTTGTCACTGAACTTTGGTAAAGGGCTGGCTCGACGCAGAACCCTAAGGGTTCTATCTAAGGGTTGATATAGCCCAAGCGATCCACAAGCTGGATTACACGGTGGTTTACTTAGGACCCTGACAATGATTACAAAGACCCTTTAATATTTTTCTCAAATTCTATGACTATCTAATTTTTCACAGACCGTTACCCTAAAATTCGAATTTTTCACCGAAAAACTTCTGTATATACCCCAAAAATTATTATCGGACCGTGTTCACTACTGTGAGCTAGTAAAAATTTTATAAAACAAAAAAATTCGTCTGTACAGAAACATCACTTAAAAATCGATCTGCCAAACGACTATCCGACAACTGTCATGGACTATCCAGTAAAGTCCAATAACATGAGAAAGCACCGCAAAAAAGCTTTCCAATAAGGTCCAATTTAGTTAGAATCCAAGTCTAATTTAGTTGGCCTAGAGGCGAATGGACTTATTTTTAAAATTGTGTACGATAGTCAGATGCATGGATATATATAACAATATATATAGTCAATCGATACTATATATGTAATTAAGTAATTGATACAAAAAGAAAAACTTACCCCGCACTAAGGTCAATATTCCAAGGGGCATCACCAGGATGGCTACCATGAGGTCTGTTATGGCTAGGCTCATCAGGAAGTAGTTGGTCACGTTTTGAAGTCTGCGTTCCCAGGTGATTGCCAAGCAGACCAAAATGTTGCCAGCTGCTGTACCGAATACAAGAACAATGGCGAGCATGGCCCACCAATTGTTAATGCCACCTCCTTCGTCCTCGAGGATCGAGGTGCTCTCGTAATCACTGTCATTGAATATTCTTGTCACTGCCACTTGCACTGTGTAACCCCGGCCACTCGTGACGTCACCGTAATTAAGAAGATCACTTTCGTAATCAGGATCAGTCGGGTTGACTGCTTCCTCAGCCATTGCCGAACAACACAAAGGTTATCTTGACCACTCCACTAACTCCCTTGATCTTCTTGAGACGTGACCACTGCTTTGTTTACTTGTTATTACTTTTTCTTTTCTCAATACACTATTCTTGGAGTATCCTCTAGGGGCGATACACTCAGCCGTAACTCATCTGGAAACAAATAATTTTTTAAAAAATTTCACCTGTTTTTCTGAATTCGTTACTTTAATTAATGAGATTGTATCGTATTTTTTTATAAAAATACAATAATTGTGTATAATGTGTTTTCGGGGGCTAAACATATGTACATGCTAATATATTTTTATACTTCAAGGTCATGGTTGCTACTGTAGACTAAATTGTGCTTCTCATGAATAAATCAGGAACAACACCGAGTAGCGAAAAGGATGAAAATTGAATTTGTACCCGCAGCGAAATTATTCCGGTGCCGCGAAACGCCTCTATTCGTTCATTAATAATTGAATAGCTTCTGATGAAAGAGGCGCAAGCTTATTGAAAAATAAAACACGACTTTTATACTTTCGCGATTCCTGTCGGTGACAATTACTTTTAATAGAATCACCTCACAACAGGACCGCTCCTTCGAGACTGAACGAGAACAACTTTAAGGAGGGACACTCGTGTTCATTTCATCCCCTTTAATTCCGTGAACGTCTTGTGCCAATGAAATTTTCGTTAGGGAGAAAAAAAAATGAAAAATACCCACCAGTGACCTGGGGGAACTTGAAATTCATGGGTACGAAAAATGTGCACAGTAAAAAAATCAAATCGCTATTCAATTCAAAGCCCATATGTCCTAGAGTAGAATTTTGGTAAAGTTTGTCAGTTCAGAGAAAAGTTAAGGAAAATTATTTTCAACGACTCTCAAGCAACTTTCTCAACGCAAATAACTATGAGATATGTAGCAATGTCATTTTACCTTATTTGCACAAAATACGAGAATTTAAAAATAAATCGATTATTTTTTTTATCCAAAAAAATGTACTTGATCCGTATTACATGACGTAGGTATTACAGAAATGGGTATCAATGTAACATCCCTCCTAACGAATACTAAGTGGATCGAATCTCTTCGAGGTAGGGAAAATCCAGGAGTAAATGAATAATTTACGAAACCAGTGAATGGACACCGTTGTTAAAATCACTATATATAGATGCAATTTACGTCAACGCGTCTATTTTCTGGATCCTGTCCATTCATTAGTGGGGTCACCCTAGAAGGGTTGTAAAACGCGAGTGGTTTAAAATTAAAATCAATCAAGGGGGTAGGGAAGAATTTTTTCTACCCTGGTACTATAAACATACCGGGTGTCCTAGAATGTTTGGTTATATTTAACGGACAAATTCCAGATATTAAAAGAATACCAAATATTTCTACAAATATTGGAAAAATGTCTTTCAAGGATATTACATTTTTTTTTAATTTCAAGAATGTGTATCTAATATCAGCTGTCACATATTTTACATTGGTCAAGCCGGTCTACATATCTTGCATATACTATTTGTCCACGTATGCTATACCCGTCCATGTCACACGACGTACAACTACAAAAATCTGCCTCCCAGTGGTCATTGAATTTTTCATGAAATTCTTTGTTTTGCACTTTTCATGGGATTTCTGCGTGTACAGTTTTCCCCGTGTACGACGATCGTAAAGAAGTTACGACGTATCTGCATCGACCGCGTCACGTTTTGCTTGTAAAATACTAGCAGGGTGAACTAACGTTGGTCAAACAACGCGCTCTGTCAACGGTAACCATAGCTACAAAGAAATAAAATAAAAAACAAAGGATTTCGAAGATCTAAAGTCACTAACGACTTTCATACAACGCCCATTAACCTCAAACTTAAACCGCGTTATCATTTGATAAATAAAAAATATGAAAAAGCGGAATCGGGACTCGAACCCGGATATTCTGGTTCCTGAGCAAATGCTTTGACCATCAGTTCCCGCATTTTTCAATGAATCATATATATTTTCGTTCAAGCGTACTTCGGGGACATATATTCAATACAAAGTATACTTCGGGGACATTTGATACTTTGAAGACCGGGCACAAACGACTACACGTTTAACGAATACTTCCAGGACCATAAAGCGATGTTCACACCGAATTTTTTTTTTAAATATTCCCAATAGCCTAGACATTTGAAATTTTGAGAGGGGGTATATGACTATTCTAGGTTACGATAGGTCAGTAATTTCAAAGTCAAACATACCAAGGTTTAGATATTTTTTAGTTTACCTGCACAATTGTCCTTTAATACGTTAAATTCTTGAAAAATGCCAATTACATGATTATTATATGATTGACATGGATGTTTAATTAATTAAATTAGTCAATTAATTATCCAACGTTATCTTTCTACGGAGATGGGGATTTTAAGGAAACGTCCAAACCTATATGAATTGTCGAGATCAATGGTTATCGTATAAAGTGATATTAGATAACGTCACGATATTTTGAATGAAATCGGTAATACTAATGAAGACTATCATTTATTTTATCAGATACCAAGATAGCGTGACTCTCGACGATCAATAAAAACGTGAGGGTGGCCATTGCATAGGTGCAAATGAAATTGAGGGTATTTTTTTATTTAATATGAAATTTTGCTATTTTTTTAAAAAAATTATTTTTTTCCCACATCATACTTGTTTATCGACCTAGCTTAATGTGACTCGTTAATTCAAATCAAATCTGCCGCGCACAGGTTATTCCTACCGTATAATAGCGTATCTCGAATTTACGTATATTGATAACAACGGGTATCAGTGGGGTGGCTGGATTTATTGGAAAACAATACGATGCCCATATACAATGCGGTATTTTATAATTTACGTTTTTGGGCATTTTAAAACTGCTGGCCAACGGTATAGGTAGTAACCTCGTAGTCACAATGCATAAATTTTCACGTATAAGAAATTATTGTATTAATTAATGCTTCTCGAGCGACGTCTTAATTTGTGAAATAAAAAAATAATAAAGTGAAAAATCGTTAAACTCCCGTCTGTTTTTTTGTCGAGCCATTAAATAAAATTCCCCTCGGTTTTTGTCTACTTCTTTAATTCTTATTCTGGTATCCTTCGTCGTGACTAATTAAGCGGTAGTCTTGCTGCACCCGATGCATTTAATAGCAACACCAACCTACCCTCGTATTAGTTATTCCGTTTCAAAAAAAAATAATTATTTTTAAATTACTTACACATGTTAAATAAATTAATAAATTATAGTTCATATAAAAAAATTTTTATAAATAATTTAAAATATTTATACATCGATCCCTTGGCAAAAAAGGAGCATACATTTTTCTATGCAATGAAATGCATTTATTTCTATAGTATAAAAAACTATTTTAATTTTTAATTAAATATTTTTCTATGTATTCAACAATATAAAATAAATATGAAATTGCATTCAACATACATTCACGTTGGCGCCACCACGTTCTTTCAAGCCGGCACAGCATGAGTGCGAAAATTCGCAATTTCTCAGGTGGAACGAGAAAAAAAAATAAATATCACATAAATTTTCACGAACTTCACACGTTGGTACTCGAGCGCGCGCGCATAAATAACGTGACACTGCGATAACAACGGAGATAACGGCAATAATAATAACAGTAAAAGCACTCCCGTAAACCGCGAGTAACGTCAAGCGATTTTCGCGTGGAATTAAACGCGACGAGTGGCGGATGACGTTATACTGACGGTGTGTTCAAACTACTACCCTAGTGGCCCTCATTGCTGGCCCCTTCTTCATCCCTTATTCGCTCCCCTACAGTAGCACCTTGCCGTCCTCTCAATACTCTTACAAGCTGCGCATGCGCGATTTCCAAACCGCCCACCAATTCCCAAACACCTGTCGTACATTCCACCCGACGATCCTCGGTAATTCTTTTCTATTTGTTTCTCTCATTTTTTTTTCTTTTATTTCCTCCTTTATCCCTTCTTTTTCCTCGATTTCATTCATCTCGTCCTTTTCCCACTTCTTACCCTCGAATCCTTTTTACACGGGTTGAGTGACACGATACCACCCGATAACAGGTGTCAGCTCCATTTCAATGAAATTTTATCGAGCGACGTACTTGTCTGCAATTTTTTTTTTTTTCGAATATAATATTCCGAAAATCGGTGTCACATATTTTATATGATTCAATCTCGAGTAGGTTTTTTAAATGTATGTATGAAAAATTAATTTTTTTTAATTTCACATTAATTTTATTGATTCTAAAAATTAATACGTCTTTTTCCGTTTTATCGTTTTTATCGGTGGTTTCGATTATTCCTTCTGGACTGATAATGTCATTCGGGAGATTTCGTGCATATCGATATGCCATTGTGACATATTGACGATCTCGATTTAATTAGTGCTTTAAATAAGAAGGCAATTCTGTAAATGAATGAATATTGTATGCTGGAGAATGGTAAACAATTATATTGTAATTAAATAGGGATCGATATTCAAATACAGGCATGGTGGTATCGGCGCATGCAAGGCTAGTTAACGCGAACGTACCATCCGAAGTTACTTTTTTCCATAGACATCAAATGGACTTGCGCGATCAGTTGTTCTGGCTGAGCTAATCAGCTTCGTATATACGTGTATAAAGCTACAGCTTAATTTAATTAGACATTCATTCCCAGACGTATTTCTATACAAAAACGATTAAGAAAAGTTAAATTAGCTACAAAAATTCATCGGCTCGAGTTACGTTAGAGTTTTGGAGTATGAAAAAAAATTGTGACGTAACTTCTGTTTCGGTGAGATAAAACAAATACTTTTTTTCTTTTTTGAAATAATACTGGTATTTGCGCAATGCATGAAATTTCACGAAAGTTTACAATGTGACCACCCTGTATATAGTACAATAGCCGTAAAAAACATTTTTCATGATATAATGTGACTTTTTTCAAGGATGAATTCTCATATGACCTAGGGTGAAATCGCTGGACCGTGCTGATAAGAAAAATAATTCGATCTTTATAATAAGAATATATATATATATATATATGTTATTTATGTGTCGACGATATCCACGGCCAATTTTGTCAAAATCCCTTAATTTTTTTAATAGCCAACAAAATACTCGGTATAAATTTTTCTACCTGTATTTGTCTTTCGTAAAATTTCGTTTTTTTTCCGCTCTCCGCTGCGAATACCACGTGGCATATTTAAACGTTAGCTAAGTAAGTACTGCTTAATTACAATTAAATTACACCCGTCAACGTTCTCGGTCGCTTTTATTACAAGTGTTAAAGCTTGCCACCCGCTAGACAAACTCAATTATCCGGTGTCTCTTTTGATCGTGATTCCCATAGGGGTTTGCCAGATTAGAAACTTTCAAAGCCCGCCAAGGAATTTGTAAATTACTCGATAGGAATTCATCAAGGTAAATGTAATTCCATGAAATTCCTGACACAACGACTTAAGGGTTGGTTAAAAAAATTGTTGTAAATTAATCCGTTAAATTTTATTTTTTTCATATTAATTAATGAAAAATTATTACTGAGGTGTAATGTTATAACATATATGTATATACATATAAAATCTCCTATTATAATATACAAACTACCATACGTTAAATTCTCAGCAGCGTAACAAGTCTACGGTATGAACAATGTGGCATACATTTACCGGAACTAAGTCCTCCATATTAATGCATCCTCTCGTGCTTCCGTCTCCTTCAAACCATTCTCAAAGTTTACCAAAACTTTTGCTAAGCTCCGGCAAACCGTAACCCGTGCACTTTCCTCGGGTTCTCATTGCATATGTATTATCGCGTTACCAGAATCCATTGCCATAAAATACAAAAAAAAATGAAGGAAAAAATTATTAACGTATAAATACATATAAACACTGGAATGAAAAATAAAAATTTAAAAGAGATCAACGCTGATAGTGAATATCGAAAAGGGACTCAAGGTGAGTAAATGAGAAGAAAAAAAAATTACATGAAAGTAGCCTCAATTACACTTTCTGCAAGAATAATCCAAGTACGTAATGTATATATCTATGTATAAAGAGAGAAAGAGAGAAAAAGGCACAGATTATAATTGCATAAAAAGAATGCACCTTGAACATAGGAAATCTTTTATTATATTTTTCTTTCTCTTAACACATTTCCTCTTCGACCGTTTTGTATTTTTTTTTCTCTATTTTTACCGATATTTCCTGCTTCCTTCATTTTACTCAAACCAATCCTATTTTCAAGTGGACTATTTCAATTTCCAATCTCAAGACAATTCTTTCTACCATTTCAGGACCCGCGATCAACAATCGCCAGAACTATTGAACCGTATCGCTGATAGATCAGCTGCATTGTGTTCCAAGTAAACGAACTGTAGATAATGGACACCCGTTGAATATTCAGGCAATTGTGCACCATGGTGCTACGGTTATACATGGCACAAGTATATACTATATTTTTATAATATAGATCCTATGTATGTACATATAGGGTCTTTGTAGCACGATATTATAACTATAGATAAAATGAAGTGGGAAGAAAATCCGCGAAACGAATTTAGAATTTCTAGCTGGTGAAAATTTTGAGTATCAACTCTAAAGTACTCGTCGCTTCTTGGAATTAACGCATCTCTGGATACATTAACCGTTTTAGTGTTACTGTCAAGTTCAGGTTAGGTTGGATCGGTACCCAGTCGATATCAAATAATCTTATAGTGTCGAGGTACGGGTTTTAGTATAATCCTAAATATCCTTTAAAAAAAACTCCTATTAAATTAATCTGTATTTAAAAATCCGATTAAATTCAACCACCGTATATACAGACGAATTTGTTAAAATTTGACCATTAAATAATTACAAGTGTGTCTGATAAAATTTGAGGGTATCGATGAAATAAGAATTTATCGAACTGATTACGAAGCTATTGGGAAATTCTGAATTGCCCGTTAAAGTTTGCCAATACCGTATTCGCCAGATTTAAGGTAAACTTTTGATTTGAATATGATTGCCGTTTGCAATTTCGAAGAGATTGAAAAAGTATCCGTCACAGATTTTCACCTAGCTGTTGTCACTTTTATGAGAATTTACAAGTTTACTCGTTACACTTCGACCTTGCATGGAACTAGATAAGGTCACTTACGTGACCTGACGTGACCTCATGTCCTGTGCACAAGAAAAGATTTTCAAGCAAATAAATACATTTTTCACGTAACGCACACGTGGACAGTAGACTTAACCTCAAAAGCGTCTCTGCTCGTCACAGCGCTGATAATTCATCATGGTGAGGCATTCTGGGTGAATTTCATAATTTCCGAAAGTACATTAAATATGCATAGAATGCAGTGTCTCACGTAAAGTACAATATGACTTTAACGTACTCCATCATGCAAGCACGATGACGACGAAGGTTGCACGGAGGAAGAAAAAAGAGACTACGTGAAATTTCTCTCGCAAATATTATCAGACATCAAAGGTGTCTAAAATTGGATTTTCATTCAAAAGTGCATCCTTATCATTCTATAAATCCTTTATGCAGCTTAACTACCATAGGGTCGTTATACGTATAATAGGATGCATAGAAAATGTCATTTTGATGACCGACTACAGCTCGATGCCATTACGTAGTCGTCGTTCTACGGCAACGCCAACGTACTCCTAATGAAATAAAGTGCCGCTGCAGTTGCAGCTGGTGCAGTTGCAGGAAGTAACGAGAAAGTCCAAGTAATGTCGTTACACATCTTGCCGCGAAGACGCGACTGTATGACGTAAATACGTATTACGTCCATATATGAATTTACAGTGTATAATTTTTTACCGTACGTTCGTTTCGTCTCGTGCATCTCGGAATAGGAAAGTGCAGCATCCTCCCTGATACTTCAGTCCGGTTCAAAATCTTCTTAGAGGAATTATGAATGGACGTTTCGTCATGGGGGTTATCACTAGAAATATACTGTCAATGAAATAATCATCAAATATACCACATAGACCAGATACTCGTGCACGGACTGTAGATCAATAGAGAATTATGTAAGAAAATGAAGAGAAATATTTTTTATGTGCAATATTCAGTTTGGATGTCATTTTACACAGGAACTTGATAATGCATCTCATAAACTCATGCATCTCGGAGTAGGAAAATGCAGCATCCTGCCTGATACTTCAGTCCAGTTCAAAATCTTCCTTGAGGAATTATGAATGGACGTTGCGTCATGGGGGTTATCACTAGAAATATAATGTCAATGAAATAATCATCCAATATACCACATAGACCAGATACTCGTGCACGGATTGCGGATCAGTAGAGAATTATGTAAGAAAATGAAGAGAAATATTTTTTTTGTGCAATTTTCAGTTTGGATGTCACTTTACACAGAAAATTGATAATGCATTTCGGAGTAGGAAAGTGCAGCATCCTGCTTGATACTTCAATCCGGTTCAAAATCTTCTTAGAGGAATTATGAATGGACATTTCGTCATGGAGGTTGTTACTAGAAATATAGTGTCAATGAAATAATCATCCAATATACCACATACACCAGATACTCGTGTACGGACTGTAGATCAATAGAGAATTATGTAAGAAAATGAAGAGAAATATTTTTTACGTGCAATATTCAGTTTGGATGACATTTTATACAGGAACTTGATAATATGCAGTTTTCATAAAAAATGTGCATGCATACTGTATGGTGGTGCATATGCACTTTTGAAT